CTTCTACCATATGAAAGTGCACCGAAGGAGACAGCCTATATGGTTCGTGTTTTCCAGTGGAAAACTTCAGAACTATCTGCTATTCTTCAAGAATTTGTTCAAACTTGCCGTGATTTATTGAATGGAAAGGTTCACATAGAGAAGTTTACTGAAAGATTAACTTGGACCCTGGAATGGATTGTGAACCACTGTTTTTCCCTTCAAGATGTTTCAAGCATGAAGGATGCTATAAAAAACCATTTTGACTGGGATGATTCGCGAAGTGAGATTGAAATGGAAACTGGAGGGATTAATCCTATCTTTGAATTTGACAAACTTCAGACAGGAAGAGGAAACTCATTATACTCTCCGGATTTTTCCTCACTCAGCCGTATGAGTGCTTTGCCAGAGGAAAAAATTCTACCATCTGTAGATGATGAAAGTCAATTATCGAAAGATGAGTTTCCAGAAGATGGACTTACAAAGGCGGATTTGGATGAGAAACTGCAAGCAGAAACAGTCAAGAGTGATTCCTTGATGGTTCAACTTCAGGAATCAGAGAAAGCAATCAAAAGCTTGCAAAAAGAAGTAGAACATCTCAGACAATCAAAGAAGATGACTGAGGATCAAATTGAGAAAGAAAAGATGGGGAAAGAAGACTTTGAGATGCAACTCAAAGCAGCTAAACTGGAACTGAATGAAGCTTGTCAAAAGGCTTGCTGTTTAGAAAAGGAACTTGAGGACAAAAATAACTCCTATAAGAAGCTCGATTCTACATGTCATATGCTTCAGCTGCAGCAAGAAAGGTACATCTGATTCTTTTTTAAATTTTATTAAAGTTTATTGTCTAGGGGATTTTCTTTTCCTGAAGCACGTAACTTGCAGCACAAAACAAAGGGAGTTAGCAGAGAATGCCGAGGTGGACCCTGAAGAAAAGCTTCTTCAAAGCGTAAGTTCCCATCAGCTTCAGTTAAATTCCCTCAGGCCTCGCAAATCTAACGACCACGTTCATTTAAATATTCTGTTTAATTGTGTAGGATCGGGAAATCACTGCAGCTTCAGAAAAGTTGGCAGAGTGTCAAGAGACTATTTTGAACCTAGGGAAGCAGTTGAAAGCATTGGCCTCGCCTGGGGATGCAGCTCTCTTTGATAAGGTGATGTCTACAAACTCAGAAACAACTAATGCTACCATGACAACCCCAAGGAAGAGTTTTGGACGTCGTTCGTCTCTTCTTGACAAGATGCTGGCTGAGGACAATGAAATGGGTTCTCCTACTACCAAGGAAGTCATTCTTGATGCAAAGAGAAATACATCCTCCAGTGTTGGGGGTTCATTGACAAATGGGAGCACGCATTCAGGATATGAAGCTGTTAATGGCTCCCGTGCTATTGTACCTAGCAAGAAAAAGAATGGTCTAGGATTGTGGAAGAAGCTGTTGCGAAAAGGCAAGAAAAGTAGTAGCAAGACAAAACTTAACGTATGACCTGCATGAACGTCATTTGGCGCATAAAGCAATGTTTTTGTTTCCCACTCTCTCTATCTCCCTCTCTTTCGTTTCTCGTTTTCCTGTTCTTGTTCTACTGTAAGTAGTATTGTATATGAGAACTAGAACTTACCCGTAAACCTCATTGATATAGTTTTCCCATGGCAAATGGAACTAGGGATAAACTTGGTGCATGAACCAAAGTGAAATGAGTGTGACATGTGCTTCATATTTGTGAAATACATTTTGGGGTGAAATTCAAAAATAGTCAGATTTACAAGCGGTAATTGAAAAATAGTTACAGTTTCAAAAGTAATCGGAATTTAGCCATTTTTCATGTAAAGATAAATCTGAACGAAAACACTGTTTAAAATCCGGAAAATATTCCAGTATAATATACTGGACTTCCAGCATAATATGCTGGAATTTCATACACAGATGCTCCAATCTCCGATATATTATGCTGGAACTTTCCGTGTGTTGGAGTTCCAACATAACATACTGAAAGTTTATACACATGTGCACCAATTTCTAGTATATTATGCTAAAACTTTCTGTGTTGCAGCAAAATAGTAGCTATTTTTCAATGACTTTGCAAACGCTGGCTATTTTTCAATTACTAGCCCGAAAATTGGCTAGCCCGTGCTATTTTCACCATTTTTTGCTAGTCGAGTAATGTGTACTGGAAAAAAAACAAGTAAACTGAAATTTTTGTGAGCATGAGTATTTTCCTGTTATTATACCAACATTTGACCCCCAACAAACATGTTTGAATTATTTTGCACATTGCACAATTACAAATCCGGGGTTCCTTTTCTAATTACGATATCGAACGAGTAAACAGCTGTTTGGATCGTGAACCATACTTCATAGATGCTTCAACAGTTCTGTTGGGTTTTTTAAGCTTATTTTAGCTTAAAAGATGTAAATGGGAAATGGAGGAAAAAAATAAAATTTGATTTTACAAAAATAAAATTTGATTTTTCTTTCCTTCACAAAGGGACATTGTCCCATATTGGAGGAGGAAAAGACTTTTTGATAGGTATATATATAATTGCTCTTCTTCTAGCTCTTAAAGAGTTAAGAAGAAAGCAAGTCTCGCGCCATCGTCATTTGGCTTTGGATTGATTGATTAATTTTTTAGACTAAATTTATTTATTAATATTAAATATTAATGTAATATTATTTAATCCAAATTATCCGTTTTTGTAACGGAAAATTAATTTTCCTCCGCGTTTTGAATTCCCGTTTTATTTTGCGTAAATAGCCATTTATGTTATGGCCGTTTTACGTAAACAGTCATGACAGACCTTCTGAAGAGTTGCATCTCTTCATTTAAACTCAACCTGTTGGCTATAAATAGAAGGCCATTCCCTCAGATTTTCCTTACGAAAATTCTGAATTCTACTCTTCCTTTCTGCATTGTTTTAACTATAACAAAGTAACAGTAGGTATGATTTGCTGCCGCCATTTGTGTTCATCGAAACACTGGGGTTTGAAGTACCGCTACACCAGTGTGTAATCCGTTCTATCCTGGGAGGAAATAATCCACAACCTCGGGTAATGGGAGTGGATTAAGTTCCTTAAGGAAACACTGTGAATTCAGTGAGCTCGGATTAATTTCTACTTCTTCTACATTTCTGTCTGTACATTGTTTTCTTCTCTAGAAATATTTTACAAATACAGTATAATAACAAGCTTAAGAACTTAATCATTTTCTGTATTTGTGTTATATTCACAGTTCTGGAGACTAAAACCTTTGTGGTTTTCTACTCCCGTTTTGGAGATTAAAGCCTTCGTGGTTTTCTATTCCATTTGTTTACTTTAATGTATATTCTGTTTTGGTTTACTATCTGTTATTCGAAGATTAAAATTCTAGCGATTTTCTACTCCATTGGAGATTAAAATCTACGTGATTTTCTACTCCAGTTTTATTCAGTTTGAAGATATAAAAACTTCGCCGTTAATTAAACGTTTGTTTGTGTCATTCTTTTACAGAAATGACGAATGAGAACGGAAACCAGGCTGTTCCTATGGTGACTGCCAATGCATCGACAAGCCGAACAACTCCGGCATTGGCACCGACAGAAAAGCCCGAAAAAATTTTCGAGATTGATTTCAAGCGGTGGCAGCAAAAGATGTTCTTCTATATGACGACTTTAAGTCTACAAAAGTTCATTAAGGAAGATGTTCCTGTTCTGCCCGACGAAACTCCAGACAATGAACGCTTTCTCGTGATTGAGGCGTGGAAGTATTCTGATTTTCTCTGTAAGAATTACATTCTTAGCGGACTGGAGGACGATCTGTATAACGTCTATAGTAATGTAGAGACGTCAAAAGAACTGTGATTTGCGATTGAAAAGAAATACAAAACTGAGGATGCCGGGTTGAATAAATTTGTTCTGCTAAATTTTTGGACTACAAAATGATAGATAGCAAGTCTGTTATTACCCAAGTCCAGAAATTGCAAGTGATTATTCACGATCTCCTTGCTGAAGGTATAAGTCGAATTAATACTTACGTTGAAAGTATTAATTATATTATTATTACTAGCAGAATTTTTATTGAAAGTCTTGTCATCAATGAAGCATTCCAAGTTGCAGCAATGATTGAGAAGTTGCTTCATTTGTGGAAGGACTTCAAAAATTACTTGAAACACAAACGCAAGGAGATGTCGCTTGAAGATCTTATTGTTCGGTTGAGAATCGAAGAAGACAACAAAGTTTCTGAAAAGAAAGATTGTGGAAACTCAACAATTATGGGAGCAAACATTGTTGAGAATGCTCCTCAAAATAATAGAAAAAAAGAAGAAAGCTTCTGGACCGAAAAGCAACCCAAGCAAGAAGCGGTTCAAAGAAAATTGCTACAACTGTGAGAAATCTGGGCACAAATCTGCAGATTGTCGTTCTCCAAGGAAAGATGAGAAGAAGGGTCAAGTAAATATGGTTGACAAACACGAAGATATTGATGACTTGTGTGCTATGCTTTTTGAATGCAACCTGGTGGGAAATCCTAAGGAGTGGTGGATTGATTCTGGAGCCACTCGCCATGTTTGTGCTGTTAGAGAAGTGTTTGCTACATATGCTCCCGTTGGACCCGGAGAGACGCTTTCTATGGGAAATTCTGCAACGGCCAAAATTGAAGGATGTGGCAAGATATTTCTGAAAATGACTTCTGGCAAGGTGGTGACTCTGAACAACGTCCTTCGTGTTCCCGAGATTAGGAAGAACTTAGTCTCTACTGCACTTCTCGTTAAGAACGAGTTTAAGTGTGTTTTTGTATCTGATAAGGTTGTAATAAGTAAGAATGAGATGTTTGTTGGAAAAGGTTACCTCACCGAGAGCCTTTTCAAACTGAATGTAATGGTCGTTGAGAATAATAAAATTTCAGCTTCTTTTTACTTACTTGAGTCAAATGATTTATGGCAGATACGTTTAGGACATGTCAATTATAAAACCTTGCGAAAAATGATTAATTTGGAAATATTGCCTAAGTTTGAACGCGACAAATTAAAATGTCAAATATGTTTGAAATCTAAGTATGTTAAACATCCTTATAAGTCAGTTGAAAGGAATTCAAATCTTATAGACTTAATTCACACAGATATTTGCGACATGAAGTCAATACCATCTCGCGGTGGAAATAAGTATTTCATAACTTTTATTGACGATAGTACTCGATATTGCTATGTTTACTTACTTAATAGTAAA